CCCCCATAGCATCCCTACATATCCCCCCACGCGGCAGTGTCATGAGCTGACCGGGGGGGGGGGGGGGGGGAGGGGTTTGTAGGGGTGGGGGGGGGGGGGGGGGGAGGCTATACAAAGACTTCAAAAATAAATGTTATTTTAAAGTGGATGTAAAATGCGTGGGCAGCCTGTGGAGTGAGGACAAAATGATCTGGATCTAGTTTAAGCTCAGGATCCAGTTCAAACCACACATTTCTCGCAGCCAGTTTGTTGTACTGGGCCAAGGAACCTACAGGGAGGGCCCAGTAGTGTCTCCAGAAATCACCACTTCAGTTTTGGTTTCAATAAAGTAGTAATCAACATTCCAGCTGTTGTTCAGACATCAACAGCTGTTCAGACTGTTCACATGTGGATTCACATTTAAAATGGATTATCAGACGCGTGTCTGTTCACATGCACCAGATGACCTTGTGAGCATTGAAGAGGTTAAAGGTCACTCACGTTCTTTCCTACATCATCCTTGGAGCTCATCAGGTCTTCCATTTCAGCGCGGAGCTGCTTGTTGAACCTCTCCAGCTCCTCCTTGGCCTCCAAGGCGTCCTCCAGAGCTTTGGCCAAAGACAAAGCCTTGGTCTCCTTCTCCCTGGCCTCAGCCTCGGCTCGGTCACGCTCCTCGGCGTAACGAGCAGAGACGGTCTTCTCCTCAGCTAGCATCTAAAACACACAACAATACGACAGCCTTCAGACAGACGTGTGACTCCACCTCCTCATCCAGGTGATGCTCTGTACCTGATCAAACTTCTTCTGCTTCTTTTCCAGGTTGGAGACAATCTGTCTCTGGTGGTCCAGGTCCACCATCTGGTCATCTAGCTCCTGCTGTAGTCTGTTCTTGGTCTTCTCCATTTTATCCAAGGCCATAGTCTTCTCCTCCAGACGTTGGTTGGTGAGCTCCACATCCTTCTGAAGTTTCCTCTTTGCCTCTTCCAGACTTTCTATCACTCCTACATCTTCGTCCAGTTTTTTCTTGGTCTCAAGCAGCTGCAGGGAGGACATGTCCAAGAACACATGAGACAATGCAACAGTGTGAACATTTTATCCACTGCAGGTGGTAACTCCATCCAAGTCCACACTTTTGGTGATGTTAAAAAGCCTCACTGAGGTCCAACTGCGCTGCATCTCATCAACAGGAGTTCACCTCCAGAACCTTCAGCTCAGGTACTTGTGGTTCTGGATGCATACCTGAGCCTGCACTGTCTGTAGCTGCTTCTCCAGGCTGTGGCGGGCCTCCTCCTCCTCCTCCTGCTGCTCCAGCAGGTTGTGTTTTTCTCCCTCCAGCTGGCGGATTACAGCGCCCAGGTTGAGTTTCTGACGAGTCTCCTCCTGAAGCAACTCCTGCGTCCAGAAATGATCAGAGAGCAACAGAAACCAATCATTCTGTTAGTGTCATGCTCTTTAAGCTATGAGGTGATTTTATTCTTTATTTCATAGGACAACTGATAAAAATGTCTTTAGTTCATTAGATATGTGATTGCTGCACCTTCAGTACGTGTAACAGAGAACCTGTCTGTTGGAAACATCTACCATGCTGCTGTAACGTATGAAAACATATCTGCACATAAAAACACTGTCCTTCCTCATCAAGTAGTTTCTTGTACTTCAAACCTCAGAATCCTGCAGCTTGCTGTTCAGGCTGTCGACGTCTTTAGCCAGTTTGACGCCCTTCTTCTCCGCCTCCTCTAGCAAAGCAGAAACGTTGTCCAGCTCCGTCTGAGGAACACAAACAGTTGGAGGTGTTCGTTAACTGAGCAGACGGGACATCATCATGAAGCAGCAGCAGTCTGCTCTACCTGCAGCTTCAGGGAGCGTTCAGTCAGCTCTCCCTTGGCTCGCTCCACCTCCGTGGTTCTGGTTGTAAACTCCTGCAGCTGGGTCTCCAGCTTCTTCCTCTTGTATTCGGACTCTGTCTTCACCTGCTGCAGAGTCTTCACTTCACAGACCAGCTCTTTGTTGTCACTCTCCAGACACTGCTTGCTCTTCTCCAAGTTGGCCTTGAACTGTGCAGAACAAAAGTCTTGTACAGGTGCAAACAACTTCTGCCTGAAGCCGTGCGGTTTGACAAACTCACCCTCTTGGCCTGTTCCAGCTGTTCAGACACTTCCTCTAGTGCTTGAGCATGTCTCTGTCTCATGTCCTGGACCTGAGCGTCATGGTTTCTGGTCTCCTCATCTAAGGCCTTCTTCAGCTCTGCCACCTCCTGCTCTCGCTTGGACCTGGATGTCAGACACACAGGAAGTGACGCAAAAAAACATCTATGGAACATCGGGCAGCTGTGGCTGAGTGGTTAGAGCAGTCGTCCTCCAATGCAGGAGTTGGGGGTTTGAATCCACCAGCAGTCACATGCTGAAGTGTCCCTGGTCAAGGCACCGAACCCCTTGTTGCCTCCGATGTGTGTCCCATTGAATGTGATAAAGCTCTGATTATTCTCTTTAGAATGATTTGTTCCATTAGCTTTGTAAAGATCTAGTAGAGTGCTGTATGAATGGGTAAATGAGGCACAGATTGTAAAGCGCTTTGCCCCTCCAACTCATGACCCATCCATCCCACCTCAATCTGTAGCTCCTTTTGGCCATTTTGAACCCATCACTCTATCTTCTCTAGAGCAGGTCATGTGCAACTTGAAACCTTCTGGCTCCCCCTTTGATGTGGTCCCCCCTCGACTACTAAAGGAGGTGTTTCCAACTCTAGGTCCATCCATTCTGGCTATCGTAAACAGTAGTTTATCCACTGGCGTGGTGCCAAAATCCTTTAAACATGCTGCTATCCAGCCTCTACTGAAAAAAAAAAAAAATACTTGACCCCTCAGTCGTTTCCAACTACCGGCCTGTCTCCAAACTCCCATTTGTTTCTAAAGTACTGGAGAAAATAGTCGAGTCCCAGTTGAAGTGCTTCCTGGAGGATCACGCCATCTTAGAGCTATTCCAATCTGGCTTTAAACCTCTCCACAGCACTGAAACTGTCCTGCTGAAGGTCTTTAACGACATCTTCAGATCCACAGACACTGATGATTCTGTGCTGCTTGTCCTGTTGGACCTCACAGCCGCCTTTGACACCATCGACCATGAGATCCTCATTGCTAGGTTGGAGCAGTGGGTGGGCGTCACAGGATCAGCCCTCAATTGGTTCAGATCTTACCTCACTGACAAATCCTTTTGTGTCTCCATCAAGGATTTTAGTTCCGCAGAGGCAGAGCTTAAATGGGGGGTTCCGCAGGGGTCCATCCTGGGTCCCCTCCTATTCTCTTTATACCTGCTGCCGCTTGGTGCTATTTTCCGGAAACACAACATGCCCTTCCACTTCTATGCCGATGACTGTCAAATTTACTTCCCCCTAAGACACAATGGTACATGCTCTATTCAACCGCTGCTCAACTGCCTGGCTGACATCAGGGACTGGATGGCTTTAAACTTCTTAAGTTTCAATGAAAAGAAGTCTGAAGTCATGTTGTTCCCTCCCAACGACACAATCACAAACCACTGCATCGACCTTTCCGCTCTAACCCTGTCAGAAAAACAAAGAGTCACTAATCTGGGCGTGATAATGGACCCTTCCCTGAAACTTAACAATCATGTAAACATGATTGTAAAATCATGCTTCTTCCAACTGAGGCGGCTGTCTAAAATGAAGCCCATTTTGTCCAAAAATAACCTGGAGACAGTAATACATGCATTCATTACATCTAGGCTTGATTACTGCAATTCACTCCTGTTTGGTATCAGTCAGACCTCCATTGCATGACTACAACTGGTCCAGAATGCAGCAGCCCGATTTTTAACCAGTACAGGCAAAAGAGAGCACATTACACCAGTTTTGGCCTCACTGCACTGGTTACCGGTTCACTTTCGAATCCAGTTCAAAATACTCATGTATGTCTACAGATCAATGAACAGTGTCGCCCCCCCCATCTTTCTGATCTGCTACAACCGTATGTCCCACCACGTTCCCTGAGGTCAGCGGACCAGTTGCTCCTCACAGTTCCAGGAACTCGTCTTAAGCGCAGAGGTGACAGGGCCTTCTCTGTAGCAGGACCAAGACTCTGGAACGAGTTACCTCTGCTTGTCAGACAGGCCCCCTCCCTCTTGGTTTTCAAGTCCTGTTTAAAAACTCACTACTATTCAATAGCTTTCAACACAAGATGATCTGTGTTTTGATCCTGTATGCTCCACACTGGTTTGTCGTCATTATCTGCATCGTTTTTTGTCTATATTCTGATTTACCTCATTTTTTGTTTTGCTTTGTGTGTTACCTGTTGTTTTGTCTGTACAGCACTTTGGTTGGCCTTGTTGCTGTTTTAAGTGCTTTATATATAAAGTGGTATGGTATGGTATGGTGTATCTCTATAAGATAGAAAGGCGCTATATATGTACAGTCCATTTACCATTTACTATTTACATCTACTGGAGCTGCCACACCAAAGTCAAATGTATTTATAAAGTACATTTAAAACAGCAGCTGTTGCCAAAGTGCTTAACGATAAAATCAATGGCAGTAATTTAATGAAAAATAATACCAAAAATTAATTAAAAGCATCAAAAGAAAAACATAAAAACACAGGACAATAAAATACTAAATCAAATCACACCGGGTTAAACATCAGCGAGAACAGGTGTGTTTTTATTAGAGATTTAAAAACAGGAAGTGAAGTGTCCCGTCTAATGTTGGGGGGCAGATTGTTCCAGAGTTTAGGGTCCACGACTGAAAAAGCCTGATCTCCTCTGAGCTTCAACTAAAGGCAGCTGGTCAGATGATCTTAGCGCCCAAGAAGGAACATCTGGTTCAAGTAGGTCAGAGAGTTATGAGGGTGTAAGGCCATTTAAGCTCAACAGGACAATTTAAACATCTATGCTGATACGTACAGGGAGCCAGTGTAGGGAGGACAAAACTGGTGAAATATGATCAAACCTACAAGTTCCTGTTAAGAGCCGAGTTGCAGCATTTTGGACAAGCTGGAGATGTGAAAGGGACTGACTGACCTCAACATAAAGCAAGTTACAATAGTCCAGTCAGGTTGTAATGAAAGCATGGACTAGTTTTTCAAGGTCAGATCTGGTCAACACAGACTTAAGTTTAGCTATCTGCCTTAACTGGAGGAAGCTTTTCTGCAGAACAGTTAATCTGTTTATTAAACTTAAAGTCAGAGTCTAAAACTATCCTGAGATTTCTAACAGACTGCTTAAGATACAGCTCAAGAGAGTCAAGGTTTACAGGAACAGAGACAGCAGTAGAGCTAGGGTTAAATACAACAACTTCAGTTTTCTGATCATTGAAACTTAAAAAAATTAAGCCATCCATGCCTTGATGTCATCAAGACATTTAAACAAACGGTGAATGCAGCAAGAACTATTGGGTTTTAAGGGCAGATAAATCTGACAATCATCAGCATAGCAGTGAAAAGAAAGATCAAGTTTCCTCAGGATAGAGCCCAAAGGGAGCATATACAGTGAAAACAGAAGGGGTCCAAGAATTAAGCCCTGTGGAACCCCGCAAAGGTAAACAGTAATAATTGAAATGAATTTTATCCTCACGTGGTGCGACAAGTTACCATAAAAGCTACTGTTAAGCCTCTTTCTCCTCATCAATAAGGCAGGTACCTGAGTTCCTGCTGGGCAGCTGTTGTGTCCAGCGTGTCCTCCAGCTCCGTCTTCAGAGCCTCCAGCTCTTCACTCAGATCCCGCTTCAGTTTTTCAGCTTTGCTTCGACACATTTTCTCTGATTCCAGATCCTCCTGGAGCTCAGCTAGCTGGGCCTGCAGCTCTCGAATCTGCTTCAAGGCGTTGTTCTTCTGCGCAGCTTCTTCATCGCTCCTGTTTGGAAGAACACATGTGGATTATAATCCCACAGCTCAGTCTGCATCATGACTAAAACAAAGATTTCCCAAAGATTATTGTCTTTAGGAATATTCAAAGACTGTCACTGTTATAAAAGTGTAAGCTTCCATGTCCAGTTTTATAATGGACAATAAATAAATAAGCATACATATTGTTTTAAAGCTTATATTTAAATTATAGAGGGAGTTTGTTTCATTTTACTGTTTGTGTTTCAAATGGCTGTTTCTACCACTGAGCACATTAATAGCACTAATAAAAAATTGTTTTGTATTTAAAAATATCAATCCATAAACATTAAAGCCCTCTTTTTGCATTTCACTCATTATTCTTTCATTTCTGCTCTGATTTTAAATTTGCAGCTCCTCATCTGTGCAAAGATTAAAGGCCAGACGTTTCCTGAAGGAATGCACATCCCAAGCTGCCGGTCCCACTAGAGCCCCAAACTGAAATAATCTTATGCTGACAAGTGACAGAGTTGTTGTTGTTTTGAGCCTGAAAACAACATTATGCACAGCCTCTTGCAACATTACGAGACCTTGTGCAACCTGTTAGTGTTTAGAGCATGTGTTGAGAGTTAACAGCTACTACCACCTCAAACTTTAAGCCAGTCTCTGTAAAACTGACCGAGTCATGACAGGGAGCGTTCAGTCAACTGAGTCATGTTGAGCCTTTTGTCATCCAGTGTCTTCAGTAGAAAGAGACACGAAGAAACGATAAAGCCGATTAATGAAAATGAGGTAGATAATTTTAATTCATCATGCGATTAATTGATTTATTGTTTATTGCAACAGGCCTATGAGCACTCATTTTCAAGAGAGACCTGTTTTTGGGAGCAGATGATGGGGGTTAAGGGCCTTGCTCAGGGGCCCAGAGTGGGGCAAATGTAGGTGGAGGCAGGTGTGGGTGTTTCACATTTTCCACCCATATTTTGATGTTGACTGTACCGGGAGTTGAACCTGCAACTTTCCAATCACAGGTCCATCTTCTCTAGCCTCTGCGCCACCACTCCCCCCAAAATATACAATATAATGTCTAAAATGTGGAAAAAGATGCATAAAATAAAACGTTTCTGTATGAAAAATCATAGTTTCAATCAGGACATGAGTTCACATGTAAATGATTAAAAATCAGCTAGTTTTTCCTTTTACACTGATTTTGATTTATGTGAGAACACGCAGCACCACGAGAACAGAGAGGAGGTCACTGACAGCTCGTGTTCTTGTTTAAACATTTATTTTGGTTACTGACTGTGGAGGGCTGGAAATAACACGAGCTCTAAAGACAAGATGAGCGTGAGGCTCCACGGTCAGAGGAGAACGTCTTCATGATGCTGGAAGTAAAACAGCTCAGTGGGTCGTTTCTCTCAGAGTTTTTTTTACATTTTGAGAGAGAACGACTTTGTTCTAACTGTGTTCAGCTCACTCGAGCTTGTTTTGGACAGATCAGCTTTCTGCTGCACCTTTATTTAGTAATACTGAGAAAAAACAGCTAAAAGTCATAAACACTTTGACTAAAACTCTCAAACTTCAACAGTAACAAGAACTGCACAAGTGCTTTTTATTCTCAAAACAAAAATGTAAATACTTTTTCCTATTAGGAAATATTTTATCTCTTAAGCCCCCAGTATACTGCCGCGTACATCCATACGCAGAGGTACGCACATACGTATGCAGAGGTGCGTACCCCCCAGGGCATGTCCTTGCAAAGCTCAAATTTTTACGACCGCATACGTGTACGCGGTGTCGCATAATAAACTGCCCAGCGACGAACTGTTTTGTATGCAACACCAATGAATTAAATTCCCCTTCTTCATCCCTGATCTGGCCTTTTCTTTTGTTTTTTTGCCAAGAGGCAGTGATCTCTTCCTCCTTCGTTGATGCCATCACTGAAATGGTGAGAAATGAAGGAATTTGTCACGAGCGAATTAAACTCATGTCCAGCGTGGCTGTGGGAGGGTCTGGAGATTTCCTGGTGGGCTGGTCTGATGTGTGGGCTCCAGAGCCAGCGCTCTGTTTTTATTTTTTAGATCTTTTTATTAACAACATCTAAACACAGAACACCGCTGCGTGAGGCTGCCAGCACTCGCTTTTTTTCCTTTTTTCCGACCTGTCAATCAATCCAGTAGGCGTGTCGGCAAATGACCAATCAGCGACCTCAATTTGTCCCGAAGGTAAACGCTCCTTGTCTGTGAAGCTGCTCTGCAGCTGCTCGGGGTGTACGCTGGAGTATCATGTCTGAACCCTCTGCGTACAGTACACGCGTACGTGAACGGACGTACGCGGCAGTATACTGGAGCCTATAAAGAAACTAATGTCAAGATGAATACTTTATTATTTGCATTATGTTGGTTAAATTCTGCTTTTCTATTTTGAACGATGAATTAATGTGAATCAGAACGAATTAATCTGAGCTGGAGAGAGGCCCCAGCTGGAACCCTGCACAGACAAGTGAGTAAAGGAAATGGATCAGTTGTGAATAATGTGAGTCAGCAGCACATTGTTCTTGTTTTCACATCGTTGTGTCAGTACAGCCTTAACTGAAGGCACCGAGTCAGACAGGAAGTCAGACACTGCAGCTTGCAGGTGAATGTTTGAAATCAAACATCCTGTGCAGACATCAGGGTGTAGAAAGTGTCATTATACACAGGACAAGACGATAAATCCTTCAGCCAGAAGTTTTTTAAACACCATCATGCAAGCAGCTGGGATCATTTTTATGTTATTTTCTAGAAATCTGTGGATAAATGCAAGCGTAAAAAGAAGCAGCTAGCTGTGGCACTTCCTGTGCAGCCTGGGGTCAAGAACAAAGTGCATCTGACAGTGGGTTGATTAATAATAATGACCCATGAACCAGTATGAAATGTTCTAAACTGGAGGTGTTTAAAGGCATACCTGTAAACTCAGAAGGGATAAAAAAGGTGACAAATCTAGCGCCTGCCTCCCCCCGGAAGATTTAGTAATTTTTTTAACATGTATAAATTAATCATTCTGGTACACTCCAAAAAGATCATATATCATATATACAGGTCCTTCTCAAAAAATTAGCATATTGTGATAAAGGTCATTATTTTCCATAATGTAATGATAAAAATGAAACTTTCATATATTTCAGATTCATTGCACACCAACTGAAATATTTCAGGTCTTTAATTGTTTTAATACTGATGATTATGGCATACAGCTCATGAAAACCCAAAATGCCTGTCCCAAAAAAATAGCATATTTCATCCCACCAATGAAAGACAAGTGTTTTTAATACAAAAAACACCAACCTTCAAATAATCTTGTTCAGTTATGCACTCAATACTTGGTCGGGAATCCTTTTGCATGAATGACTGCTTCAATGCGGCGTGGTATGGAGGCAATCAGCCTGTGGCACTGCTGAGGTGTTATGGAGGCCCAGGATGCTTCGATAGCGGCCTTAAGCTCATCCAGAGTGTTGGGTCTTGCGTCTCTCAACTTTCTCTTCACAATATCCCACAGCTTCTCTATGGGGTTCAGGTCAGGAGAGTTGGCAGGCCAATTGAGCACAGTAATACCATGGTCAGTAAACCATTTACCAGTGGTTTTGGCACTGTGAGCAGGTGCCAGGTCGTGCTGAAAAATGAAATCTTCATCTCCATAAAGCTTTTCAGCAGATGGAAGCATGAAGTGCTCCAAAATCTCCTGATAGCTAGCTGCATTGACCCTGCGCTTGATAAAACACAGTGGACCAACAGCAGCAGCTGACATGGCACCCCAGACCATCACTGACTGTGGGTGCTTCACACTGGACTTCTGTCATTTTGGCATTTCCTTCTCCCCAGTCTTCCTCCAGACTCTGGCACCTTGATTTCCGAATGACATGCAAAATTTGCTTTCATCCGAAAAAAGTACTTTGGACCACTGAGCAACAGTCCAGTGCTGCTTCTCTGTAGCCCAGGTCAGGCGCTTCTGCCGCTGTTTCTGGTTCAAAATTGGCTTGACCTGGGGAATGCGGCACCTGTAGCCCATTTCCTGCACATGCCTGTGCACGGTGGCTCTGGATGTTTCTACTCCAGACTCAGTCCTCTGCTTCCGCAGGTCCCCCAAGGTCTGGAATCGGCCCTTCTCCACAATCCTCCTCAGGGTCCGGTCACCTCTTCTCGTTGTGCAGCGTTTTCTGCCACACTTTTCCCTTCCCACAGACTTCCCACTGAGGTGCCTTGATACAGCACTCTGGGAACAGCCTATTCGTTCAGCAATTTCTTTCTGTGTCTTACCCTCTTGCTTGAGGGCGTTAATGATGGCCTTCTGGACAGCAGTCAGGTCAGCAGTCTTACCCATGATTGCGGTTTTGAGTAATGAACAAGGCTGGGAGTTTTTAAAAGCCTCGGGAATCTTTTGCAGGTGTTTAGAGTTACATTGTTGATTCAGATGGTTAGGTTAATAGCTTGTTTAGAGAACCTTTTCATGATATGCTAATTTTTTGGGACAGGCATTTTGGGTTTTCATGAGCTGTATGCCATAATCATCAGTATTAAAACAATTAAAGACCTGAAATATTTCAGTTGGTGTGCAACTATATATATATATCTATATCATAGATCATATATCATATATACAGTATGCAGCTTTCACAACACTAAGTTACACTGTGCCAAGCAAGAGACAAAAACAAAACAAAATCATTTTAGTCAGTTTTGTCAACCTGCATGTAATTATTGAAACAAAATATTTTACAGGTTTATTCCTACCTTGGTGCCACCAGTTTCTACATTTCATAACTTTTATTCTCCTTTCCTTCACAATCCACCTGGAATAAGATCTCCTTCTCCCATTGTTTTCCTTTCCAGTACTCCTTCATTACTGTTTTTAACTATTTTACTTTCCAGAAAACTTGTGTTACTTGGCTTCTTTCTCCATAGTTGTTCTCTAGAACTCCATCAGCTGGACTTCTCTAATGTTAGGGCAAAATCTTTCAAAAAAGAGTTGCTCTCACCAAGCACCTATTTTTGTCACAACCCCAGAGCCAGCTTATGACAACACAGATGTGCTAGCTAAGATGCTACACGCTCAGTTTGTCTCACACATCCTAACACCCCCCCCCCCCCACAAACGCACAGGTCAACAGCTGATGTGACAAACGTAGCTGTAAGCTAACGCGCAACACGGAGGTGACTCCCCCTCCTCCCCCGACGACAAACCCCCTAAAGAGATGAGCTCTGATCTGTATGATTCACGTAAATGACATATTTTAGTTTGAAATCGGTGAATTTAGCTGAAAAGCGACGAGTTAGCAGGTATGTAAAGGTGACAACAACTCCCTCTGGTCCTGGCTGTGTTCAGATTAGCTGTAAGTTCATCAGAATTAAATTAGTTCTCCAAACTGACATCTTTCAAAGAACTATCTACAACAAGAAGGACAACAATTCTATATTTTTACACTGACTCCTTCTTTAAAACACACATGTGACCTTCAAGGTAAATGTATTCTGCTGCTCATTAATTACAAACATCTCTGCTCAAAATGTCTTCTGGTAAAAAAAAAAAACGAAAAAAAAAACCTGTTAACAAGCCGAGTCTTCCAGTCTCCTTGATATTTCTGCAACAGTTGTGGCCTTCACCTAATCTTCAGTTTTCACTTTTTAAATGACTGACCTGACCAAAGCGACTTGTAGATCTTCCTCCTTCTTGGTCAGTTGTATCTTTAGCTCCTCGATTTGCAGCTGAAGCTCAGCAATCTGGTCCTGCAGGTCGGTGGTTTCAGCATCCAGTTTACGCTTGGCCTTCTCCAGCTCCTGTCGCGTTTTCTCTTCCTTCTTTAAACGTTCTGAAGTCAGGAACATGCAATGACAAAATGTAAAGGAAGCAAATATTGAAAATAAACTTAATAACACTTATTTCTATGAGAAAAAAAACTTAAAAATAATGTTACAGCACAAATGATGCCGAAACGCCACAAATGTATCTAACAAGGTTGAGTCAGATCCTCTGGATGCCCGTTACACAAACATGCTTCAATAAAGCTTACAGCCATTAAAATACCTTCGAGGTCAACCATCATCATTTCCTGCTTGTTCTTGACTTTGCCAAGATTCTTTGCTTTCTCTTCTTCTTCTGTTAGCTGAGTGGTCATTTCCACAATCCGGTCCTCCAGCAGCTTCTTCTCCTGTTTTAAGAAAAGAACAGTTCTGTTATCAAAGTATTGAAGCCGAGTCATGAAACATACAAGTTCATCTGAGACAAACAGCAACAGGCTGAGAGAGGCAGTTTGAGTAGGGAGGTCCAGACATGTCTCTCCATAGCCATGTCTTCTGGGAGGACTCGAAGGTGTTCCCAGGACAACCAAGAGACATAGTCTCTCGAGCGTGTCCGAGTTCTCCTCCCAGTTGGACATGCCCGAAGCATCTGCCTAGGGAGGTGCCCAGGAAGCATCCTTATTAGATGCCCAAACCACCTCAAATGGCTCCTCTTGATGTGGAGGAGCAGCGGTTCTACTCCGAGTCTCTCCCAAATAACTGAACTTCTCATCCTGTCTCTAAGAGAGTCCAGTTACCCTGTGAAGGAAATTCATTTTGATCTCCTGTATCCAAGATCTCGTTCTTTTGGTCACTACCCAGAGTTTGTGACCATAGGTGAGGGTAGGAACGTAGACCGACCGGTAAACAGAGAGCTTTGCCTTACAGCTCAGCTCTCTCTTCACCACAACGGACCAGCACAGAGTCCACAATACAGCAGATGCTGCACTGAGCCACCTGTCTCATGCTCCATTCTTCCCTCACTCAAAAACAAAACCCTGAGGTACTTGAACTCCTCTACTTGAGGCAGAACTTCACCTAATTAATAAAAAGCCTGTGAGAAGAACTGGCTTCAAAATATGTGTCTGGCAGAACAACAAACAGTTTAGTTTAATAATTATATTATAAAGCTAAGCTCTGTGATGAGGAGGATGGATGGCACCAGGTGGATGTGTTGGACTGACAAAGGGACAGAAGACGGCCAGTCACTGCTCTCTTCGTGAAAAGCTTTTCAGTCAACCATTGTATCTGTGTTAGCACGTTAGGATCTGATATTTCTCACAGACTGGTTGTGAAAATGAAAAACCAGCTCACGTTGATTTAGCAGTACTTTAAATCATCAGCTGGACTTGGAAGGAGTCAGATGTGGCCTCAAAAACAAGTCCCTATGAGCCGTTAGTGCGTGCTGTAAAGTTGTTTGTTCTAGTAGTTACTGTGGCTGCCTGTAGTAGAACATGCTGCAGTAAAGCTGTGTGTTTTCACAGCTTTTCATCCTTAAACTCTAAAATATATACTGCATGTTATTGTTATTAGACGTGGACATGTATAAACAAATGCTTTTAAGTGAAATAAGTCAAAGGTAGCATCCAATCTGTATTTCTATCTCTGTAGTTCAGTTTCAGTGTTTAGGATGAAAATCATAGTCTTGCCATCTGCCTCCTTGTTTTGGATTAAGATTTAAGATTATGCAATTGTGCTTCAATAATTGTTTTATAATCAATTGCAGCCCTCTGCATCATAATCCTAATTATAATTTGAAATGTACGGTGTCTAAAATTTCCCACGAGCAGATTGTTTGTGTCCACGTGAGGAAAAACATTAGGTTGATGTTGAGTCCCGGGGACTTTCCATTAAAAGCATCATTTAACACTTTGGTTTAGTAGATTCCAACATGAGAGGATTACTCTTGGACTATCATCAGCAGCTCCATTTTTTAACCTTGAGGAACTTGGAGTTTTGGTCCTCCAGCAGCAGAATGTCCTCCTCCATCTTTTTGATCTTTGCCTCAGCCGTGACTTTATCCAGCTGCAGCTTCTGCCTCGCAGCTTCCTCCTCATCGAGTTGTTCCTCCAGATCCTAAGGAAGAAACACACAGGACAGGAGCGTGCACAAGTAATGATGACTGAAGTTTTATAATCTGTTGCAGGTTAAATGATTTACTTTAAACCAAATGTCTACGACAGTAAATACTTGCAGCTAAATAACGAGTCATGGTGATGATAAAAACAGCTAAAAGTTTTAGCTTGTAGCTGATGTGTTCTTCCACTGTCTGAATTACATTTTCAGTTTTTAAATTAGTTTAAATTAGATTTTTCTTGCATTTCACTTATTTTTCTCATTAAATTATTTCAGTTTTTGAAACAAAAAGTGTAAAATAAAATTACAACCTAAATAATAACTAAGATGATCATGTATGTAGAAATGTGAAGAGGACACAAACCTGAATGTGAGAATGCATCTTCTTCTTCTCATTCTGCAGACTCTGATTCCTCTCCTCCTCTTCCTCCACTCTGGACTCCAGGTCATGGAGGATCTCCTCCAACTCCTGCTTCCGAGAAAGGAGGCGAACTCTCATCTCTTCTGCCTCAGCAAACAGCTCCGTCTCTGCGTGAAGCTGCTCTGCTAGAATATTCTTCTCCTCGAGAAGCTTCAGGAAAAAGAAACAATTTCAAAATTAAATATTTCCATTTTTTTAACAAGTCTATTTCAGGTCAAACTGTTCTTACCTGCTGATGTTTCCTCTCCATCTCCCCCAGCTCGTTTTCCACTTTGAGCTGTCTCTCCTTCACTTTCACCAGCTCCTCGTCTTTGGCTTGTAGCTCCTCCTCCTGCCTGGTGACCTGCAGCAGTGGCTTCACCTGAAGCAGAAATTTAAAAAGTCATTCTTTGGTATCTAAGCCGACCAGTTTAAAGCTCATATTTGATGCGTCACCTTGGTGAAGAGCCTCCACCACTGCCAGTGTCTCAGCTTCAGATAAGCAGCACAGTTTCTCTGGAGGACCTTCAGGGCACTCAGCTGCTGCTGCTTCTTAGCAAAAGCTCTAAAAAATAATCAAAGTCCATTATCTGGCACAAAACATTGTATTACATGAATCAGTGTCAGACTTGTCTCAGTCATCTCCTCAAATTAAAAACCATCTCCATTTTGTTTCAATTTAAACTTGTACTTAGATGTTTTAGTGATAATGTTTAAAAAGAATCAATGAAAAAAGGAGCTTTTTTTCTCCACTATTTCATGGGATATAAAAATGACAATTATTAATGTGTAGTACACATGTTTGCTAACATAAGTGTTTATCTGACACATCAAAACACAAACCTCTCTTCATTTTCTATTTGTAGAAGAGTTAAGGAAAAGTTCAGCTATATTAATGCAGGTTTCTGTGTGAAAGGGATAAATAATTAATATCTAACTAAATGGACTGTCGTCGTCTTAAAACAGCTCAAGTCTTGAAAAATTCACAGCAGTCAATGTGAAGGCTATTTTTTCCAAAGATTAGTTTTAAAACTGCACCAATCCACTTCAGAAGTGGCTCCATTTGGACTGTATCAATGAGCTAATGACTAATCCTAACACCCCCAGCCTTAAACGTTTCACGGAAATTCAAGCAAACGCTATTTTAGCCACATTTTTGTTACAGCCAATTTAAAATGAGTGTGATTTTGGCAGAAATATTAATGACTCCTTGATGCTAAGAAAATGCTACATGGTGCTAATGCTGGTGCTATTTTCACATTAGGGCTGGACAATAATTCAATATCAATACGTATCACAATATACTTTTACTCAATAATGGTTATTTGAGTTTTAAGCACATTTTTGATATTTCATTATACATTACGCTATGATTACAGCGGTTCACTGATGCAGTTCTTTTTCTGTTCAGATTGCAGCGGTCGTTTCAACCTGAACAGAACAAGCTGCGACACAACTATGTAAGTACGACAGGCCATTTGTTGGTGAGAGAACACAGACGCCTGAAAGGAGGTGCAGAACCGCTGGGAGGACGGGATTATTAGAGTATAGCTGTTTCAATAACTGTTTACTCCCAGACTGTGGACAAAAACTTAAAATAACTCAAACAAAATGTAGAGAAGGTCAAGTGAAGGACATGCTTACTTGCGTGCCAAGTATCCACGGCACACAGACTGGAAGTAGATGATGATGTCAGTGATCTTCAGGTCTCTCTCCTCCTCCAGATGAGCCAGAACACCCGTCCTGAAGAAGATCTTACTCTGACCGATACGGTACAGGTTGGGGTCCAGCTCCAGGGCTTGAATCTGACGAGCACAGAGGTGTCCAGAACAAGATTTACAAAACAAAGAGGGGAAAAAGAAGGCGTTGTTACCATTCTTTCACAGGCTTGTTTCCCATCCATGAAGGCTTTGGGGATGGCGTTGGGTGTAAGGATCTCATATCTGAAAGGAAAACAAGCAAATGTATAAACTGAAGAAACTCTTCTCTGTAAGAAAGGAGTCGGAGAAGTTTTGGCACTTGTGACCTCTGTCTGAACTCTTGGAAGACGATGCGGTTAGGAAATCCCTGTCTGCAGATTCGGATCCCCTCCAAGACCCCGTTACACCTGAGCTGGTCCAGAACCAGGTGAGGCTCCAACTTCCCTGCCTGTAAGAGAAAACCAAACCACAAAATGAAAACTAAAGGTGATATTGACTAGAACTCAGTGCAGTGATCCTAAGAAGATTCCTCCAGTAGGGGTGTAACAGTACTGTGACAGTCTGGTATATTTATTTTGGATGAAGCGATACTTTGAATGAAACTATGCCAGGTCATTCATAAATTTATTTAATAACCCTGACATGAAGCATAATGTTCTCACATTAGCACTGAACTAGCTGAGCAGTTTGAGTGTTCCACATTTTATACTTTCATATTGGGAGTTGTTATTCAGTTCTCTGTTGATTTTTATTGTGCATGAAGTCAAATATAATGCGGAAAACACTCCTTGGTTTTATTTTATTGTTTAGTAAAACATTGTTGAGGAATACCTTTATGGAGTTTATTAAACTCTCTACTTGACCTGGTTTGTGGGTCTTCCAACATCACAATGACCCGAAGCACACAGCCAGGATAACCAAGGAGTGGCTCCGTAAGAAGCATATCAAGGTTCTGGAGTGGCCTAGCCAGTCTCCAGACCTAAACCCTATAGAAAATCTTTGGAGGGAGCTCAAACTCTGTGTTTCTCAGCGACAGACCAGAAACCTGGCTGATCTAGAGAAGATCTGTGTGGAGGAATGGGCCAAAATCTCTGCTGCAGTGTGTGCACACCTGGTGAAAAACTACAGGAAACACGTTTGACCTCTGTAACTGCAAACAAAGGCTTTGATTTTCACAGTTGTTGAAATACTTATTTTCAGAAGTAACACAAATAAATTATTAAAATATCATACATTGTGATTTCCGGATAAAAAAAAAAAATTAGATTATGTCTCTCACAATGGACATGCACCTAAGATGAAAACTTCAGACCTCTCCATGATTACTACTTGTAATACTATTCCTACTTCGCGGTTTTTCCGTAATCGTGGGTCTTCAGGGTACGGATCCCTCCGCAATAAACGAGGGACAACTGTAGATATATTTTTCTTTACAAGAATCAAGTTTTCTGTGATGGACTTGCAAATTGAATATGGACACCACTGACCCCCTGCAACCTAAAAATGAAGAAGCGAGTAAAGAAGATGGATGGATGGAAGGAATCTAGTCTTTTCTTTTGTCTCAAAATGTAAAAATATCAATAAATGTTAACAATCATTGGATGATTTTAGTTTTATAATTTCAAGCCTACTGGCCAAAAAAGCTCACTCTAACAAACTTAAAGTAGCCCATGGGCCACCAGTTGATAATGACAGTTTTAGCAGGTTTTGCGGCTCTGGACACGTTTAATTTAGTGAACGAAGGGGCAGAAATGGCTCTTTAAAGGTTGCAGACCCCTGGCTTAGACCCTCCCTACCAACAGGTTTTTTAATCTGTTTCTGGGATGGTTATATCTTATGAAAAACTATTTGAAAAACTAGCATTTGTTTATTGTTCTTGTTTTATCACACCGTATCACAGTGTCTTAAGTGTACCGTACACCCCTACAAAATAAAGGCATAGATTTACTCTTTTTTCATGGTTGGGGATGATGCAGCGAACAAAGTTGGGATTGGTGTTCCTCAGCGTGGCCATGAGTTTGGTGAGCGACTCTTTGTAGAGTTGCCCAACAGTACGAAACATGCCCTTTTTGGTTTTGTAGGTGGCACCGAATGCTGTCTCGTTCATCCCGGCCACCTGGTCCAGGCCCACAATTCTGTCCACTGGTGAGGAAACAGAAAGACAAAACTTGTCAGGACAGACAGCTGTTTATGGGAAGAGAGAATCACTGCAGGAACAGTGACAGCATAATGCCAGCATGAGGTAGCTACATGACCGAGTGCAGATGGATGATAAACAAATATATACCAGAGCAGCACATGTCAGACTACAGCTACCCTCTGCAGATAGAGATGAAGCATGTGGCTATTAGGGATTCTATTTAGTTACATTACATCTAAATATAAATGAGATCTTTTAACTAAAAGTTCATAAACTGAAACCATCTAAGCTGTAAATAAAGATTTAGCATGGCTCTGAAGCATATGACGCATCCCCAGCTTTTCAAAAGTGGTTTCTTTTCCATTCGTCAGGGGTTTAGAATCAATTATTGGACCAGATACACAAATATTTAACTTTATTAAGACAGGAACTGATGAAAGTAAAAACATGAGGATAGGTTTAGCTGATCATCAGAATAAAGGGTTTCAAACTGGGAATGGAAGCATGAACGTAGGCACAAAACACTTCCTTTTGTTTATTGTAACTAACAAATCATGAACTATAGATGTTATCTGTTGCTCTTGAGAGCGTCATGTTAACGAGAAATAATCAGTAAGTGCAGTTTCCATTCATTTTCTGTTAATGTGAGATTTAAAATCAGCTGAACAACTTTTAGAAGTTTAGACATTTTTTGACCATTGGTGTTTTTAGGACATGATTTAGTTTCTATATAAACTGATTTGTAGCTGAAACAATAAAACATTTATTTCCATTGATCCTAAAGTGATAATTGGTGAAAAAGTCCAAATAAAAATGGTTGCTCTGAAGTTTGGATCACCTTGCCACAAGCTGTTTAATACAACAGACAAATTTAATGATGAGTTTGAATATATCTCTAAAAGGTTAAAGTGAACATCTTTACAAGTTAATGTCACTTGTAATTCCAGGTGACAGATTGTTTTAACACTTGGATGAAAGTGATACATGATGGATTTTCTGGACTCTCCATAATGAGCTCAGAGCTAAAGTGAAAAACTGAAACATCTGGTTTTATTCTGTCTGTGGTCCTTCTCAGGAGGCAGGATTTTCTTGTATTAAATATTTTTCATTTGCCTCTCGACGTCTCTCTACAGCAACACTAGGAACAAACATAACTTCAACACACAACGAAGCTAAAATTAAAGCCTAGATCAACTAAGAGAAGCATGTGACTCTGTTCTATTTGTAACATATTTATGAACTAGATGCTGCTGCTTTTGGCTGAACTGAAGGAGCCATGCAGCCTGGAAGCAAGTGGGAGTCTCTTCAGATACTGTATGACATTCGGCACCAGCTACAGGCAGATCTGGGCAAAAATACACCAACTCACTCCAATTGATCCTGTTTTAGAGTAAATATATGGAATTAGCTTTTCTGGGCATCAGAAAGTGTTTCACAACGCAGCAGTGACCGTTTTGAGCATTGAATATTTTGGCCCAGGTCTGCTGCGGTGCATCTCAGCCATTCACCTTCCAGCTCATCCAGACATGAGACATTGTCATAGAATGAGGCCTTTTGAAAGACCTGAATCTCTACAAGACAGAGAAAGAAAGGAAGTGGGCATGGTGTTCAGCATTAGAAACGTGCAGAATAACAACGACTAAAGCCAGTAGGCTTCAGAGACAGACATGTTCATGTGTTTGTTTTCTAAAAACACAGTCGACTACAAACAAGAGAATCTACAGGACATGTTACACACATGAACTCTAATTTATATTATGATTAAAGTCTTAAATTATAGATTGGAGTCAATTTACCATCTTTCCACAGTTCAGCTACAAACTTGTCAGTGGACTGATGCAGAAGTGTGGCCACGTTGTCATTCAAAGGGTCCATGTTCTTCATCAGCCACTCATCTGCCTTGTAGTCAACCTGTGATAATACGAAGGGATTTACTTTGTAATGAACCCATCATTTCGTGCATTTTTATAAATATGTGCATACATGATAAGCATACATTCAGGATGAAATGTAAAATGTGACACAGCTCTGAAGTAACTATAATATTCTTCCATATATGTTCAGTAAAGTGGGAATCTGATTGTAAAAGACACTTCAGCAAAATATTAAAAAAAAATTAAGAGTTTTAATTAGAGCCCGACCGATATATCATTGTGGCTGATATTTAAGGCCGATATACCGGTAGGTGTTTGGGAACATCGTATCAGTGATAACTGTCCCATTATGTGCCGATATAAACACTGGGAGAGACCATGTCTCTTGTTTGGCCTGGGAACGCCTTGGAGTCCTCCCAGAAGAGATGGAAGAAGTGGCTGTGGAAAGAAATGTCTGGGCCTCTCTGCTCAAGCTGCTGCCCCCGAGACCTGACTTCAGAACAAGTGGAAGATGATGGATGGATAGATGGATAAACCCTGGGAACAAGCTATGTCTTTACTGGCAAAGGGTGTAATTGTAAAAGTATCCAGCAGAGGGTGCATGAAGAATACTTTCAAGTCATGTCCGTTCACAACTTTCACTTTCAGTACAGTTGAAGCAGAAAACAATACTGTGTGTATTTTGCTGAATAGAGCATAGTAAGTTTATTTAACTGATCTGTAAAATTAAAAAAAATCAACAATAATAAATTCTCTTCAATCCTCCAACCAGCTTGTCATTAGCTACATGCTTCTTAAGTTAGCAAGCAAACATTTAGATAACCTAGCATAGACTGTCTTGTAAAACTTTATCCAGAACAATAAATCTAACATAGTATCAGTGTTAGTAACATTATCTTTGTCATCCTCAATGAAATTGTTAAGAGTTATCCTATTATCATGCTGAGACCCACGGTTTTGTCTGCACAGAGTCGGACTAGTTCCTGGCCTGGTTCTGTAAAGATGAGATGGGCCCAGCTGCTCTGATGAGCAGGGTCAACGTCTGATAAGGAATACTTTTTTTTATTTTGCTGGCATCCACCACATAGATAGATTTGCACTTTCACCCATTTCTTTAATCAAAAACAGATAAAGCCAGGTCACACAAAGTCACCCCACTGATACAACTCTGATAAGATGTGCTCCCGGAAGTGAAGGCAGAGCCAAGGGCCAATATAAGCTGGGGTGTTCTGTGAAACGGGGTTTCCGCTTCCGGGTTAAGACGAGTTGGGCGGACGCCTCAGCGCTGAAACTGTAACTTTCTCCTGCCTGATGAACATTAAATGGAAACAGAAATTATATCTCTTGATTTATTTGAGTTACAGCAAGTTTCCTCTCCATCTGGGAATAAAAGAACCAGATGCCAGAAGTAGAGAGTCAGACAGGCTTCAGGGATGGACCCGGTCCAGAATCTCACAAAATGCAATGTTTGTCTGAAATCTTCTCTGTAAATAAAAATAAACTCTGCTGCAGTCAATACTAATTAGACTTTCCCCATACGTGCGTGACTGTTGAAACAATGAACAGGGAAGTACATTTCTTTGTTTAATTTACAAACTGGATTCCAAAAAAGTTGGTACACTAAACAAATTGTGAATAAAAACTGAATGCAATGATGTGGAGGTGCCAACATCTAATATTTTGTTCAGAATAGAACACAAATCACAGATCAAAAGTTTAAACTGAGAGAATGTATAATTTTAAGGGAAAAATCTGTTGTTTCCAAATTTCATGGCGTCAACAAATCCCAAAAAAGTTGGGACAAGTCCATTTTTACCTTTGTGTGGCATCCCCCCTTCTTCTTACAACACTCAACAGACGTCTGGGGACAGAGGAGACCAGTTTCTCCAGTTTAGAAATAGGAATGCTCTCCCCTTCATGTCTAATACAGGCCTCTAACTGTTCAATCGTCTTGGGCCTTCTTTGTCGCACCTTCCTCTTTATGATGCGCCAAATGTTCTCTATAGGTGAAAGATCTGGACTGCAGGCTGGCCATTTCAGTACCCGGATCCTTCTCCTACGTAGCCATGATGTTGTGATTGCTGCAGAATGTGGTCTGGCATTATCGTGTTGAAAAATGCAGGGTCTTCCCTGAAAGAGATGACGTCTAGATGGGAGCAATTGTTGTTCTAGAACCTGAACATAGTTCTCTGCATTAATGGTGCCTTTCCAGACATGCAAGCTGCCCATGCCACAAGCGCTCATGCAACCCCATACCATCAGTGATGCAGGCTTCTGAACGGAGCGTTGATAACAACTTGAGATATCCTTGTCCTCTCTGGTCTGGATGACATGGCGTCCCAGTGTTCCATAAAGAACTTCAAATCGTGACTCATCTGACCACAGAACACTCTTCCATTTTGCCACACTCCATTTTAAATGACCCCTGGCCCAGTGCAAACGTCTGAGCTTGTGGAGCTTGCTTAGAAATGGCTTCCTCTTTGCACTGTAGAGTTTCAGCTGGCAACGACGGATGGCACGGTGGATTGTGTTCACTGACAATGCTTTCTGGAAGTATTCCTGAGCCCATTCTGTTATTTCCTTGACAGTGGCATTCCTGTTTGAGGTGCAGTGACGTTTAAGGGCCCGGAGATCACGAGCATC